TGGAGATTCGGACCCTCACCACCCTCCAGGCTTTCCACAAAGCCCTTAAAACCTGGCTGTTCCGACAGGCCTGGGCTGATGAGTTCCTGTCCCCGCTCGAATAGTGTGGCTGTTGATTGTTTTTAAATTGTGGTGTTGTTTTGTCCATCTCTTTTTTCCTGTTTGTATCCTCCCCCCTGACTTGGTTTCTGAGCCGCCCTGAGTCCCTCTGGGAATAGGGCGGCATAGAAATACAATAAAATCAAAAATCAAAATCAAATATAATTTCAAGCATATCTAATTTGTATCTTAAACTATTGCACTCTATTCTGATTATATTTTAAATTGTATTTTGTTCCATTTACATTTTAAATTGTGGTTTATTTCATTCTCATTTTAAATTGTAGTTTTTGTCTCTGGAACTTGGTATTTTGATATGGCCCAAGGGCTAATTAATAAAGATTGATTGATTGACTTTGGCCACCTAATGAAGAAGGAACGACTCACTGGAGAAGAGCCTAATGCTGGGAATGATTGAGGGCAAAGGAAGAAGGGGATGACAGAGAATGAGGTGGTTGGATGGAGTTGGCGTGAGCTTCAATGGACTCCAGAGGATGGTAGAAGACAGGAAGGCCTGGAGGAACGTTGTCCATGGGGTCACGATAGGTTGGACACGACTTTGCAACTAACAACAACAATATAAACTCATCTCTTCCACAGCACACAGTGTATGGGACCACACATAGCAAAAACAGAAAGCAAATTATTGTCGCAGTTACTCAGGTTGAAGCATGAAATTCCATTCCTGGAATGCCATAACTGCAAAGCAAATACTTAATTCAGCGATCCCAATGACTGAATAAATCTATGTTCCAACAGTGTTTAGTGTGAACTGAATATGCGCTAGAGAGGAACCTTTCCATGATGAGCTGTGTGTCACATGTTCTGCCACAGAATTGCTTTCCTTGAGGTTTTTTTGTTTTTTAAGAAAACAAAACAAAATTAAAATCTCAGAGCAGCTTCAAGGAATATCTCCTGGCAGCAAAGGGAACGGTTCATTTTTCTTATCAGAAAGAAAAATGCTATTTTTCACTACAGCTGTCTTTTTTCCCATCCATGCTCCTCAGGGAGAAAATATGTTAGCATTACTGCAAAGTCTGGAAAGCAGCATTATTAAAATTGGAAAGTGGCAGATTTATAAATGGATTATTGAAGGAATCTATAATCCAAAACTCAGGATAACTGAGAAGCTTACTTATTTGCCTGGCCTAGAGCAGGTAGAAGCTCAATTTTCTTTTGAATATCTGACTGATATTTAAAAACGGAGAAGTACAGGTAGTCCTCGACTTATGACCATAATTGAGCCCAAAATTTCTGTGGCTAAAGGAGACGGTTGTCAAGTGAGATTTGCCCCAATCTGCCATGCCTTTCTTGCCACAGTTATTAAGTGTATCACTGCAGTCATTAAATGAATCTCGCTTCCCCACTGGCTTTGCTTGTCAGAAGATCATAAAACCCTTCATAAATATGAACCAGTTGCCAATCGTCCATGTTTTTATCATATAACCATGGGAATGCTGCAACAGTCTAAGTGTGAAAAACGTTCATAAATCACTTTTTCCCACAGTGCTGTTGCATCTTTGAATAGTCATAAACAAACAAGTCAAGGGCCACCTATATTTACAACAGGTGAATTCCACAATTAGAGACTACACAGTCAAAAAAAGGAAACAACAAATTATTTCCCTCTTGTTACATAACTATGTCCTGAACAAGTCATCAGGAATTGAGCTAAATATGTTTATCACTTTAAGTTATTCAGGGCGGTACAGTGACTCAGTGGTTAAGAGCAGGGGTGGGTCCCAGCAGGCACTACTGCTGGTTCGCTCATGGGCACGCTGTGCGTGCATGCGCAGTGCAATAAAAAATGTGAAAAACAAGATGGTGGCACCTACGGCGGCACCAGGAGAACCGATTTGGGGTGGGTGGGACAGACCTGGGTCACTGCCAGTTCCAGCGACCCAGGCCTCCAAACCACTACCGGTTCAGCCAAACTGGTCCGAACCGGTAGGAACCAACGACTGGTTAAGAGGCTGAGCTTGTTGGCTGGAAATCCGGTGGCCCAGGTTCGAGACCCAGTTCCTGCCAACCTAGCAGTTCAATTTGCTGTGCCAAATTTAAGTTGGTGACACTCAACTCAACCTTCTTAAACTTAAAATAGAGGGAGACCAACCGGTTGATGAGGAGTCTGCAGGCATCTGACGCGGATCGTTCCTCTCTACGTCGTTATAAGGCAGAGGCGCTGATGAATCCACCACAGAGACTTGCTCTGAATAAGTCTGGTAGGTTTCCACGTGAGGCGGTGGTGACGGTGTTTGCGGCACATACATCACAGGGTTCCAGCAGGTTTGGTGGTAATACTAGCACAATTCAAGGCAAGAAAATTTTAAATAGGTGAGCTACTGCTGCCCAGACTGAGAAAGCCTCTGGTAAAATCTGCCTGCTTAGATCTACTTAAGAAGTGCCCTGCATAAATCAACTGCTTTACACAAGACACTGGATCGAGGGTAAAACGCAGCTTAACCCTAGTCAGCAGACCATTAACAGGAATCTTTGTGCTAAAGTGTGGTCAATCTCTAGTGGCTACCTAAAACCTAATTCTTTCCCTGAATTTTCTTCTCTTTAGCAAGATTTATTTGAGATAGAAAAAGTAAGGTTACAGGAACTCCTGCAATTGAGCTATTTGCTCTTTAGAAAATGTTTACTTACAGTATCTCCTCTCTCTGTATAAAAATGTATGCATATAGTATGTATGTATGTATGTATGTATGTATGTATGTATGTATGTATGTTTCGTTCCAGTATAACTCTGGAGCACCTCAAGCAATTCCAACCAAACTTGGTACACAGATGACTTACCCTCTGGAAAGAAATACTGGGGGGCAGGGGGGGAGGGAGACACCTCTGGTATGGATGTGTGTGTGGTGGGTCTGTGTGTTCCAGCATAACTCTGGAACACCTGGCCCGTTAAGGAGAGCAAGTGTGGCATCCTAGAATGGCAATTGTTTGTGAGGTCAGTTCCTTTGCAGCTTCCTCTGAAAAGCTAGCCGTGATGTTCGCCCTCCAGTGGTCCAATGGGGAAGCACCTGATGGATTTGGGCAAAGTGGCAGGATCGTAAACAGGGCAGGAAAGAGGAACGCATGGGAGGGGGAAGGGAGAGGGCAGGGAAGATGGGCATGGGAGTACAAGGAACAAAGGCTCCTCTCAATGGCTCCCTGTAAGACACAACATGCCAATATCTATAAATACCTGGGCAAAACCCAGTTATCAACTAGTTACATATAATAACCACCAGGGTGGCATGGTGGTTAGAATGCAATATTGCAGGCTAAGTCTGTCAGGAGTTTGATCCTGATCGGCTCAGGACTGATCCAGCCTCCCATCCTTCCGAGGTGGGTAAAATGAGGACCCAGATTGTTGTGGGGCAATGTGCTGACTCTGTGAACCGCTTAGAGAGAGCTGTACAGCACTGGGGAGTGGTATAGAAGTCTAAATACTATTGAAGTGCTATTGCAAATCTGATACAAAAATGCCATCCAACAACTGAAAGAAGCTGTGCTACAAAGTGTGAAGCTGTGCTACAACTGAAAGAAGAGGCTACAAAGCCGGCAAGAATTGGAGACAACTAAATGGTTAAAACAACAACAATCTTTACAATGGAGCAGAAATTATTTTTCTGTGCCTTAGTCAAGAGACAACTAATACAGAAGAAGAATGGGATTCTATTTATTTTGTAAACATTAACAAAAAAGAAAGTGGGTATGCTTTAAGAAAGTAATATCACTCTTGTCATACCCATCAATGCTGCTTCTCTTATAATCTACTTGTCAGCATCCCTCAAATATTTACCTAGTTAGAAAGAAGCAGCTTAGGAAGCCAGCATGGATAAAAGCAATATATTTACAACATTTTAAGAAAAGCGCCAGGTCTTGTGTAAACTTCAAGCAAAGGATTCCCTGTCAGAGTTCAGAAAATTTTGAAAAACATCTGTGTCTCCCAAAGAATGACACCCCACTCTCAAAAAGGTGGTTGTACCACTAGACTTGTATAGAGCACCTACCTGCAGGCCCAAATTAAAATAATACTGCAAAACCTTTGGATCTAAAAAGAAAAGAACTTGGTCACTACATTTCATTTGCATCCTAGAAGGTGTGAATATTTGCATTTTTCTTATGTTTGTTCACCAGTTCATATAAAATGACTTTACAGATATTTTCTCTCACATACCGTATTTTTAAGAGTATAAGATGCACTTCCCCCACCCCCACCCCAAAAAGAGGTTGAACATTTGGGTGTGTCTTACACACCAAATGTAGCCACGCCCACACACCGCCCCCCACCCTTTGGCCTCTGCCTCCCAGCAATTTACCTCCTTGCAGCAAATGGGAAAATGGGGCTTGCGGAGGCGGCAATAGGCTATGGCAATCTCGCAGCCTGAAACAGATGATCATCAGGAGGCCCCTGCTGAAACTGAAATTAGTGAAACGGGCTTTTTGCTGTTTGCTGCAAGGAGGAAAATTGCTGGGAGGCAGAGGCAGCTTTTTTTTTCTTGTGCTAATCAGGCTAAACTGAAATAGGCTGTTTGCTGCAAGGAGGTAAGTCAATAACTATAAATGCCTATAGAATGTTCAAATTATTAGACTTATTTTTTAAAGACTGCTTTATTATTGTTCTAGACAGCTTAACAAAATGAAGCTTTTTAAAATAAATTCTTGAACTGAAGAGGCCCAGTGCTATTGCATCTTCTTTTAAATAGCAGAGAATAATGTATACTTCCAGAAAGCCACATCAATTTTAACAGCATCTGTACAAGTATATTCTGAAATGTAACACCACAAACAGTGTATATCATCTGTACTGTTTGCTGTTGGTTGCAAGGAGGCAAATTGCTGGGAGGCAGAGGCAGATTTTTCCCCCCCCTCATTTTCCTCCACAAAGGCTAAATACTTCTTATACTTCACAGCGTCTTATATTCTAAAAAATATGGTAGTTAGCATTTAAATATTAGTTTATTAAACAATTGCGGTTATGAAAAGAAAGTCAATTTTAGAAAAATCTGTTAGTTTGATTAATTCTGCACTGGGAGAGAGCACTGTGGTGGTTTTTCAGCTGTACCTACAAATACAGGCAGTCCTTGACTTATGACCCCGACTGGGATCAAAATTTCCCTTGCTAACCAAGGCATGCCGGATTTTGCAACTATTTTTGCCATGGTTGTTAAGTGAATTACTGCAGTTGATAACAACCCCAATTGCAACCAGAATTCTGGCTGATAAGCAAGGCAGCTGTTAAGTAAGTCACGCCCAATTTTGCCACAATTGTTGAGTTAATCTCTGCAGTTGCTGTGAATCATGCAGCCATTAAGTGAATCCAGCTTCCCCATTGACTTTGCTGGTCAGAGGTTTGCTGAGGTCGCAAACTGAGTTCTCGTGACCCTGGGATGGTGCAAATGCCAGTTGTCAAGCAACCAAATTTTGCTCACATGACATGGGGATGCTGCAAAGGTTGCAAGTGTGAGCACCTGTCATAAATCACTTTTTTCAGAACGGTTGTAAACCAAGGACTACCAGTAGGAGAGGTACCCATGACATCAGATGAACCAAAATCTGGAACGTATAGAGCAGTGACGGCTAACCTTTTTCTCACTGCATGCCAAAAGCAAGGAGAGCACAGGGGGATCATGTGCAGGCTGCCCACACCCATAATTCTGTGTGTGTTACCCCCTGTGGATGCGCGTATGACCCCCACCCTCCCCCAGCTTTCTGTGCAAACAAGAAGTTTGGAAATGGACTTCCGGTTTGCACAATGGACCTGTTTTTCGCCCTCCCCAGGCTCCAGAGGCTTTCTAGGAGCCTGGGGAGGGCAAAAGTGCCCCCCCCGGACGCCCTCCGGAAACCTCCCTGGAGCCTCCAGAGGGTGAAAAATGGCCCAATGAGCAAACCAGAAGTCTGTTCCCGAACCTCCAGTTTGTCCGCTGGGAAGCCTCTGAAGGGCGAAAAACGGCCCAAAATGAAGGCCGAAGCCAGCTGGCCAGTGCACGCATGCTCACTGGAGCTAACAGGGCTATGCTTCATGTGCCTAACAACTGGCTCCGTGTGCCACCTGTGGCACGTATGCCATAAGTTTGCCATTAAGGGTATAGACTATCAATGAATAAAAACAAAAAAAGAAGGTGCATAACACCTGGAAAAACTACGAAAACACTTAATTTCCCAGCTCGACTTCTCACAAAAATTATATGCCAACTGTTAGAACAGAGCACAGCATGGGAAAAAATACAATTATTATTGAGTCATCCTTCTGCAATCTATTTCACCTTTTCTATTGTATACTTTACTTTTAAACCATTGAACGTTAGAACTCCCTGTCCTAAATGTTTATGTAACACCACAAATTAGCAGAAGCACAACAAGAGAGAAGCTGCAAAGTGAATAGCCCGTTTTCCTTTTTAAACTGTTGTTGCCTATTTTGCTTTTTGTGCACTTGCTGTTTCTTTTGCAACATGCACAAGCAACAATAAGGCACAATCTAGTGGAAACTTCAGCATTAAATATTGAGCTAAAAACAGAAAACTTTGTTGCACAGTAATTTGCAGCTGCTTATTAAGTTTTGAATGTAAAATCCAATTAATGCTATACCTATTAACATCCACATTTCAAAGCTAATACTGTTATACCTTTTTAAAAACCTAATACAACACACAACATACTTTCTACTTGCAAATTATACTTAGGAGAGAGTGGACAACCATTTGTCTGAAATCTTTGGGTTTCCTGCCTAAGCAGGGGGTCAGACTTGAAGATCTCAAAGGTCCCTTCCTACCCTGTTATTCAACGTATATTTATTAACATCAGCATTTCAAAGCATGGTCAGTACTGTTATATGCTTTTAAAAATCTAATACAACATACATTCTATTTGCAAATATAGAATTGAGGCAAGTAGATAGCCCTGTTGCTGGCTTCTAGTTTATTTTGATTACAGCCAATTCCTGACCCACCCTATGCAGGTAGTCCTCAGCAGACAACGGCAATTGGGATCGGAACCGCCATTGCTAAGAGACAAGGTCATACAGTGTGATATCTCGTGAGCAGGCTGTTTTTAAGCAAGGAGTGTGTGGATTTTTAAGTGAGGACCTCATGTGAGTGCAACTTTTGACTTTCTTTTTTAAAAATAAAGTTTTTTTTATTTTTCTCCGGCAAATTCATTAACAAATATACATTCTTATAATTGCTTTTAACATTTATCTATTCGTCATTAATCTTTATCGTTATTTTCTTACAAATATATAGAATACAGTTTGGGTCACTTTCTTGCCACCCCATGCCTCCATCTTATTTTGCAACAACCTTGCTCCTTCTCTCTTCTCAACCTCCCTTCTCTGCCTTCTTCTTTCCTCCTTTCCTTCCTCCTTTCTTCTTCCCCTCTCTTCCTCCCCTCTTCTCCTCCTTCTTACCCTCTCTCTTACTTTTAATTCCCCTCCCTTACTTCTTTTCTCCTCTCCTTTCCCCTTTCCTCTTCCCCTCTCTTCACCCTCCTCCTCCTCTCTTCTCCTCCTTCTTACCCTCTCTCCTACACTTACTTCCCTTCCCTTACTCCCTCTGCTTTATCCTTTCTTCCTTTCCCTCCTCATCCTTCCTCCCTTCCGTTGTTGCCCTTGCTTATTTACTTTCTCTGATGGGTTTTTGGGGTGGCATTTCAGCAATCCCAACTTTATATTTTCATACAAATAATTTTCTCTGTTATATTTTGTTTCTAACAATAATTTCACTTGTATCATTTTTAACTTGTATACTTGTATTTTAATACTTTCCTATTTCCTCCCCCCCCCGATTCAATAATGTGTCATTTGAGTTATTTATTTTATACTTTCTTTCTGTTTGTATCTCTTTTCTAACCATTTCTGTTGGCTTCCCCATTGACTTTGCTTGTGGGATGCTCTCAGGGAACATCAGAAATCACAGTCACATAACTGTGGGGATGCCACAACAGTCAAGCCACAGCCACAGAGTGGTCAATGCCTGGAATGCACCACCTGACTCTGTTGTTATCCCATAATTTTAACCTAAGACTGACTACTGTTGACCTCACCCCATTCCTAAGAGGTCTGTAAGGGGTCGGGTGCATAAGCGCACCAGCGTGCCTATCATCCCTGTCCTACTGTCCCTATTTATTTGTACCCATTTACTGTGTTCATACTTATGTTTATACTTATACATTTTTTACATGGTTGACAAAGTAAATAAAATAAATAAAACATAAATAAAAACTCTTGACGACCGGTCATAAATACCAGGAGTTCAGTGCTATTGTAACTTTCAACAGTTGCTGAGCAAATGGTCATAAACCAAGGACTCCCTATTTGCAAACTTCAACCGAAAGACAACTTTGAAGTCACGGAGTTCATATTAAAAACCTTGTTTTCTTTGCAAAACAGCCTCAACATTTACTTTCTAGTAGATTTGGAAAGGAAGAACCATATAATTGGAGTTCACTTTCCTAATCCATTCCCTTTTGTAATGTGCTTGATGTATAGCTTTTTACACCGGGGAAATTCAGATAGCCCCAATGCAGGAATGAAATTCAGCAGGTTCTGACAGGTTCTGGAGAACAGGTAGCAGAAATTTTGAGTAGTTCGGCAAATAATACCTCTGGCTGGCCCCGGAGTGGGAAGGGAATTGAGATTTTGCAATATCCTTTCCCTGGAGTTGGGACGGAATGGGGATTTTGCAATATCCTTCCCCCGGAATGGGGATTTTGCAGTAACCTTCCCCTGGAGTGGGGAGGGAATGGAGATTTTGCAGTATCCTTCCCATGCCACGCCCACTAGGTCACACCCACAGAACCAGTAGTAAAAAAAATTGAATTTCACCACTGCCCCAACGCCAAGCTTAGAGAGACACAACCAATTGGTCTATTTCAATCTGTATTCCAAACACTTTGGTACATCTATGATTATATTTCCCTTGTCACAGCAGTTAAGCAAAAGTACATTTAATACAACTACATATTTTAAAGGCATACTCTTATAAAAATATGCCTTTAAAAATGTTTTGAAAGATTTATCCAAGCCAAAATAACTGAATCAGAAGTTTCTGGCATTGAAAACCTGCTAGATAATGAAGTCCCACATTGCATTTGGATAGTCCAAACTAGCTAATGCATATAATAAAATGTAATTCCATAAGCATCTCTAGAATTGACTCATTTTACAGAGCTAAAATTACTCCCACACATCAGAGAAAATGATATCTTACCTCTAGGCAGGTCACTTCCACTTGGATCACAAGAATAAGGGGGCGTAATACTGCCGTTTTCCCCCACATCACTGACAGGAGGAAGGGGAGGTGACTGATACACAGACACCGCTATTTGAAAAAATGGGGAGAGAAATGTTACATTAATTTTGAAAGCAGTGGAATGCACAAAACAGACCTTGAAATTTATGCAATGAATCCATTGGGGATATCTAAGTAATCCCACTCAGTGTTCCTAAAATGAATTTAACCTGGATCAACAATCCAAGTCAAACTGAGAACCTAAACAAATCTGATCTTGCTGCGTCTGCCAAGTATCTTCTAAAATATGGAACGAAGTCAACATTTTCCATGCATAGATGAAATAACACAATACAACGAGCCCTTTAAAAGGCCTCCATTCTGAAGGATTTTACTTAGAATCATATGGTTGAAAGAGACTATGGAGGTCTTCTGGTCCAACCCAACTCAAGGCAGGAGACCTTCTACCATCTCAGTGAAATGGTTGTCTAGTCTACCGTTGAAAACCTCCAGCGATGGAACAAGCTGTTGCATTGATTAATTGTTCTTCTTCCATGTAACTTTATTGCCTAAATACATTTGACACTTCCAGAAGATCAAGTGATCTTCAATGCCTTCTGGGGACTAAACAGCTATTCTGATTCAAAAATCACCTGGTGGAGAGGAACCATAGACTCAAAAGCATTTTCCAGAAATACTTCAAAAGTGAAATCAATACTCCACCTGGCCTTCCCGCAGGAGAGGTTACTAAGATTGGTGGCACAGCATTCTGGGGGGTAGATGCAGTGATAGTGACTTGCGTTGAAGCACTGCAGCTGGAAGAGAAAATGGCGGCTGGAGCGGTATTGACACAGGAAGAGCTGGATATAATGGCGGAATTTACCATAACCTATGAAGGAAAAGGCAAAAAGGTCAGCATCTTTTCGCCAAATGGTGAAATTCATATATAAAACACAAGGCATCCTGGGAACAAATGATTTTGCAGGATGAATTATCTTCTGATGCAATTAATAGATTTCCGTTTAAGTAACCCAATTTGAGTGTAACAATAAACCGTAGTTTGGCATTACCAGCATGCATGCTGATAGGAGCTGCATCAGTGAATGAAATGAGCTGTGTATAAATTTAATAAACAAGCAATACTTATAATAAATTAATAAATAATTAATAGGCAAAAATTCACTTCTAAACCTCTTATCTGAATGCCATTTGGGCCAAATGACTAATTTTAAAACATCCTCAATTTTTTCAGCCTCATAGAGTATGAATTTTCTGAGGCAAATTACACAGATGTCTGCTGTAAAACATTAGCAATTTTCCTATTTTTCTTCAAACTACTCTAGCCTTTAAGAAAGTCACCGTGGTTGTATAGATGACACAGCTTTGAAGCAGCTGGGTTGGGGGCAGAGGTGGGTTTCTACAAGTACGGTATGGTTTGGCCAAATAGGTAGTAACTCCATCGGACAGGTGACCGTACGGGTTCTATCTTTGGTGCCACCATCTTGATTTTCTGTTCTGCTCATGCACAGAACAATCTTCATTGAAAAAAATGTATTTCCCCCCTTTTTTTAATGTTGTGCGCATGCACAAAATTTTTCGGCCGCTAAACCGGTAGTGATGGAGGCAGGAACCCACCCCTGGTTGGGGGGCACCATTGGGGAAGAAGGGACATACTTTGAATGATATGTCAGAGAAAGTAACTAAATTGGTCTAACTAAATACTATGATCAATAAAATCAGTGTGATTAACCCACTTAAATGTAATAACTTTCTCCTAAAGTCACATTAAAGTCACATTAAATCTCAACCTCAGCAACTTTACGAGGTGTGGACTTCAACTCCCAGAATTCCCTTGCTAGCCAATTCTGGGGGCTGAAGTCACAGAATAACGGTATTGAAAGGAGCTCTTTTAGTTCAATCCACTGCTCAAGCAGAAGACCATATACCATTCCTGTCCACTATCTTCTTTAAAACCTCCAGTGATGGAGCTCCCACAACTTCTGAAGGCAAGTTGTTCCACTGGTTAATTGTTCTGTCAGGAAATTTCTTAGTTCTAGGTTACATCTCTTCTTGATCAGTTTCCACCCATTGCTTCTTGTCCTGCCTTCAAGTGCTTTGGAGAATGGCTTGACTCCCTCTTCTTTCTGGCAGCCCCTGAGATATTGGAACACTGCTATCATGTCTTCTCTAGTCCTTCTTTTCATTAAATTAGACATATCCAATACCTGAAACTGTTCTTCATATATTTAGTCTCCAGGCTCCTAATCATCCTTGTTGCTCTAACTCCATTCTTCATTAACATATTTTATATGACATGGTGCACACATCTTAAAGATGTTGAGGTTGAGAAACACTGCACTGGAGTGTTGAAGACAACTTTGAAAGAAATTCAATAGTGCATTTCCATTTTAGTTAGCTAAATGTTTTACTTCTTTTATCAAAGTTAAGTTAAAATGTATGTTTCACGAACATTTTTCAGCTCTTCTGGACAGTGAAACTCTTCTTGACTCCAAGTTACGTCCTCACAGAAATTTACCTTCTGAGAGTAACTGAAGGAGGTAGATGATTCCTGAGAAGAGACACAGTTTGCTCCTGCATCCTACAGAGACAACACATTTTAAAAAGAAGGAGGGGGAGAAATGAGAATCAACCTTATGCTATGTTATTAAAGGGTCATTTGGGCTAATGAAAAAGAAGAGCTATTTAAAAAAAGTGTTCAGAGAGATGGAAGTGGCTAAGTCTTTGAATATGGATGTTCTGTGCCAAATGCTACATTTTGTTTTCTGTTGAATTCCATTATCCAAATCCACCTCAAGACAAGGATTTACGTCCCGATATGCAGCAACTTCAAAACCATGGTTTCTGTAATCCTGTTTTGCTCAAACTGGTGCCATTCAAATGTTCTGGACTTCAGGTCTATGATTTCTATAAGGTAACATTCCCCTCACACATATGTGCTAGCCGTTCCTGACTCTAGGGGATGGTGCTCATCTCTGTTTCAAAGCTGAACAGCCAGTGCTGTCCGAAGACATCTCCATGATCATTTGGCTGGCATGATTAAAGGCCAAAGGTGCACGGAATGCTGTTCCCTTCCCAACAAAGGTGGTCCTTATTTTTCTACTTGCATTTTTATGTACTTTCGAACTGGCAGAAGCTGGGACAAGTAATGGGAGCTCACTCCATTACTCGGTGCTAGGGATTCGAACCTCCAAACTGCCGATCTTTCTGATCGACAAGCTCAGCGTTTTAGCCACTGTGTCCCTTATGATTTCCGTAGAGCATGCAAATCTAAAAGGCAGCAGGTCAATAAAATCTGAGCCAAGAAAGTACATCAGGAGGCAGTTCCCCGAACTATGAGGGGTCCTTGGTGCTCTCTGAGCTTGCTTGCTTTCTTGCAGATGTTTTATTATCCAAACTTGATAACATCATTAGTGCTGCATTGATAACGTTACTGAGTTTGGGTAATGAAACATCTGCAAGAAAACAAGCAAGCTCAGAGTACACCAAGGACCACCCATTTCAACCCTGAGATACTAATATTCTCCTTTATTTGCATCTTTGACGTGTGGAGCAGCATTTCATCTCCATCACAACCCAATGGTTATCTTTTTGTGCTAAACATTTATCATATGAGCTAGCTTTGGAAGCCATGAGAGAGAGGAAGAGCAAGATATATCAATTTTTTTGGCATTTTCTATTGGGCTTAGCTACAACTGGATCTTTTACTTATTTGTAAAGAGAGGGGAAAAAACAAAGTCAACTTTTGAAAACATTCAGAAAAGTGGACATAAACCCTCCCAAAATAAGTTAGCCAGCAACTAAACTGTTATTATATAAGTGCCACTAGTCCTCAACCTATAAAAATAATTGATCCTGGAATTACAGCCATAAGTCTCTGCTGTTGTTAAATGGGTTACCATGTGACAATGCCTGATCTACAATCTTTTTTGTAGCAGTCATTAAGTGAATCTGTTTTATCTGACGGGCATTTTTTTCCTAGTTCTTTCCAGCACTCTTACATTGTTTAACAACACTGTTTGTTACAGATGACATACCATTCTTTTAATACATGAGGTAACAAATTTCCGCTTCATAATTACACATAAAAGCCATCTGGCTAAGAAACAAATTAGTGTTTAAAGCTGCAAGATTAAGATCTTACAATTGCTAACAAATCCAATAACCACGCAGGGTCTCCCAATCTGTAAAATGTTAAAATCAAATTATTGTCTGCTCCGTAAGTCAGACACAAAACTGAGGCTGATAATAAAAATCCCCAACACCCAGGTACTGCTCACTGGAAAAGTAGCTAAGGACACCATGCTGCTATCGTTTGAGCAGGCAGTGAGAAAGTGTTGTTTATGGACTGTGTGCCAACATAAGTTGGTTCCTTGGCCAAGATGTCTTCTAATATGGGACAGGTTGGTATGGCGAGCGTGCCTCTGCCAACTCATCATTACCAACATGGCCTATTCACTGTGGGGACAACTCACCATGGGTGACTGGAGGGAGAGCAAGGCAGGTGGGTGAGAGAGCAGATGGGCAGAGTGCAGGCCAGCGGTGTTGGCTAAGCAGTAGTGGGACTCAAAGATTTTTACTACTGGTTCTGTGGGCATGGCTTGGTGAGCATGGTTTGATGGACTTGGCAGGGGAAGGATACTGCAAAATCTCCATTCCCTCCCCATTCCAGGGGAAGGATACTGCAAAATCCCCATTTCCTCCTGATCAGCTGGGACTCGGGAGGCACTGAATAGTCAGAGGTACTATTTACCAGTTCTCCAAACTACACAAAATTTCTGCTACTGGTTCTCCAGACCTGGTCAGAACCTGCTGAATACCACCTCTGTGGCTAAAGGTTCCCACCAGAGGAGAGTCAGGTGAGCAAGTGAGTGAATGTATGGGCACAGCACAGAGTAGCAATGGTGTTCAGGCCATGTGGTGGTGAGTTGTCCCCATGGCAAATTTGCTGTGTTGAATTGTCCGACAATTTGGGAATGATGAGTTGGCAGAGGTGAGTTGGTGGTGGTGAGCTGGCCGCATCACACTGGCCACGCTGAGCTAGCCATGCCGAATTGTCCTAAGCCCCCCTTCCAACATTAGCAACTGAGCTACTACAAAGTAGGGAAGCTGACAACTATTTTGCGCAACCCACCTGAGCGAGCACCATTTTCATTACTTTGTGCAAGCTGGTAAAAATCTATACAATTCAAGGACTACTATTACAACGGGTATTATATGACAGTGCCAAGGTTGGAAATTGCTTTCACATCTCCTCTGAGGTTTTAACAGTATTCTAATCTAGGCTTCCTGATACAGTAAAAAGCACATGCTTAGTCCCCCAAACCCTCTTTTTATTTCAAATGCTGTGAATTACAGCCCATAATGAGTGCCAAATAGTTATAAAGAGTGCTACAGTAGGCTGCCAAAGTCCTTTGGCATAAGACTGATAAGTTATGAAGCAGACCTTTATCTTCCTTGAAACGCTGCCAAAGACTTCATTGGAAATTAGCTTGGCAAGCCACACGGAGCAAAGAGTCAAAACAGAGCTTCAGAAGGTAAACTGACCAGCATGAACCAAGTTGCTTCCTGCAAAGACTCTAATGCCTTTGCTCCTCCTTTATGTCCTATGGGGGGGGGGGAGCAATCACTTCCAACCTTACCCCTGAATCATCCCTTTTGTCTTAACTGTTCTTGCTTTTCAGCAGGGGGAGCCTGTTCCTCTGCCTCATTGCTCTCCGACACTGGAGACTCTGGAGGCAGCACATAACTCCCAGATGGTCCTGGCCCTCTCTCTGCCTCTGATGCAGAGCCCTCGTCCGAGCCTTCCCCAGACTCCAGGACTGGCCCATGCTCCTCCCCAACCTCCTTGCTGTCCGACTCTGCTGCCAGCTCTGAAGGCCACAACAAACATTCTCTGGCCATGCTAATATCAATGTTCTTAATTAAAGTTTACCAAATTTCTCAATTCAATTTTTAACTAAAGCTTACCAAATTTGCAGTAGATTCAGCTGCATTAAATACTGTGGTTGTTTCGCACTCTGGATCTGGAAAGCAGGGAGGAATATGAAATTGACAGCAGCAGCTATCAGGTGTAACTATTTACTACAAAAACAATAAAGTTATGAAGCAGACATTTAGGGAAATACTCCAGTCTCACCTGGAGGAGTATACAGATAATCTTCATGATATTCTCCTTGAAAATCAGAGGGTAAGTGCACTATTAGAGAAACATATTAGAAGTAAATTTCATGTAAAACAAACAATTACAAGAGAAAGGATGAAAATCTAGCCTTATATTTTACAATCATGTAATTATCCAAAAACTTTCAATGAATTTCTTCCAATGCTTTATGCTTCCAATTCCACAATCCCCAAATTGCAAAACTGCTAAGCAATTCTGATTGGAGAATTCAGGACATCAAGAATTCTTAAGATCTGGCTGCGTGAAACTGGCTTAAACGATGGCATATGGTAACAACATTTGTCGTATTATTGTTTTGTTTTGTTAATCTATGCAAAACATTAGCTAGATGCAAAGTCAGCAAGGTCCAGGTTGCTAGAATGGTAGCTGGTTAGCCTATATAAAATAACTAGATGTAGCCAAAGGTCTTAGGATAACATACTTTGCTTGAAGGAACAAACCTGTTCTCCAATACAGGTAGTCCTCTTGACTTACAATGACAATTGAGCTTTCTATTGCTAAGAAGGATAGTTGCTAAACACATTTTGCCCCATTTTATGATTTTTCTTGCCATAATTGTTAAGTGAAGGACTATGTAAGTCGAGGACTGTGTGTATAGTTAACAAAACTCTGTGAAGGACCTTGGAGTGCTCATCTCTAATGATCTAAGTGCCAGAGCTCACTATAACAGCATTGCCAAAAAGGCATTAAGAGTTGTTAACCTAATCTTGTGTAGTTTCTTCTGCAAACCAGAACATACAAAACCTTTGCTAGGCCAATTCTTGAATACAACTCATCTCTCTGGAATCCACACTACATATCGGACAGTAATACAATTGAGCGAGTCCAGAGATATTTCATGAAAAGAGTCCTCCACTCCTCTGCTTGCAACAGAATCCCTTATGACACCAGGCTTGAAATTTTGGGCTTAGACAACTTAGAACCTCGGTCTGACCCGAGAATAGTACACAAAATTATCCGCTACCATGTCCTACCTGTCAATTACTACTTCAGCTTCAACCACAACAATACACGAGCACACAATAGATACAAACTCAAGGTAAACCGTCCAAACTCGATTGCAGAAAGTACAACTTCAGCAACAGAGTGGTCAATGCCTGGAATGCTCTACCTGACTCTGTGCTTTCTTCCCCCAAACCCCAAAACTTTAACCTTAGACTGTCTACTGTTGACCTCACCCCATTCCTAAGAGGTCTGTAAGGGGCGTCATAAGCACACCAATGGGCCTACCATCTCTGTCCTAATGTCCCCATTTATTTGTATCATTTTCATATATTCATAATCATGTTTATACTTATATCTGTTATCTTATACATGCTTGACAAAAAAATAAATAAATAAAAATAAATTATTGCACTTAATTGATCTTTTTAAAAAGTCAACTACTTAAATTATCAATCAACATATAAAAATAATCCAAAATATGAAATGCTTAGAAAAACATTCAATGCTTATAACTGCAAAGTACTTCAAACGTTTGGCATAGTAACAATCTTGGAAAGGTAACAGATGCATCTGAACTTATTAACATTCATGCTATGCTAGGTCTAGATTCTAATTGAGAAATGCATTTTTGAAATAATGAAAAAAACCACTGGTCCCTGCAATTGTACATACTGTAATTTTCAGATCACATCTATTCTGAAAAATAATGGCATGTTCCAGTTCAAGCCAGGAGACATCTGTGAAGAATTTTTTTAATGACTTTTTAAAAACTCCTAACCAATATCCCAAATGTTATAAAGGAAATGAATGAAGCAGTAACCCTGTCAGAAGGCATATTTTTCCTTTAGCAGTTAAAGGTAAAGGTTCCCCTTGCACATATGTGCTAGTTGTTCCTGACTCTAGGGGGCTGTGCTCATCTCCATTTCAAAACCGAAGAGCCAGCGCTGTCCGTAGACGTCTGGTCATTTCTTCTTTTTGCAACTGGAAGCTCTTTTGTTTGTTTCTTTGAAATAAAACAGTACTAGAGCAGGAAGGGAGAAATTTAGAATAATCTTAGGAAAAGTTGTCATGGAATAGTACAAACGCTCCATTTTATCTAAAACTAAAAGTTAAGATTCCCCTTCCACATATGTGCTAGTCGTTCTAGACTCTAGACGTCAGTGCTAACCTCTGTTTCAAAGCCGAAGAGCCAGTGCTGTCCGAAGACATCTCCGTGGTCATGTGGCCAGCATGACTAAATGCCAAAGGCGCACTGAATGCTGTTACCTTCCCACCAAAAGTGGTTCCTATTTTTCTACTTGCATTTTTACGTGCTTTCGAACTGCTAGGTTGACAGAAGCTGGAAAAAATAACGGGAGTTCAATCCATTATGTGGTGCTAGGGATTTGAACTGCCAAACTGATGACTTTTCTGATTGACAAACTCAGCGTCTGAGCCACCGCGTCCTTCACGAATGATTCACCAAAGTTCTCTCATAATTTGTAAATTTGAACAATAGGATTCTTGGCTTACAACTGCTTGTTTAACAACTATTCATAGTTACACCCTACCTGTAAAAGAGGACTCACACTCTGGATCTGAAGATCGGACAGTTGCTCCCCACGTGATATGATTGTACTTTGGGGGCTTGACAAGATGGGCGCGTGGAATACCCCATGATTGCGCGAGTATGTTTTATAACAGTTTTGCCAAAAACTGGTAACTTCATCCAGTTTTCTGCAAAACTATGCCCATAGTGAACCATTAGTTTGCTTAACAATCACAGTATTTGCTTAACAACCATGGCATTTGCTGAAAAACTGCCACAAAAAAAATCTTGCAAAATTGGAAGTACTTGTCATTTATGACCCTCACAACTTATGACCATAATGGGACAGCTCCATTGTAGTCATAATTTGAAGACTACATGTCTGCGCACATCTTATGAAGCAGAACAAGTTGGACACTGGTGGTGCAGTAATTGCAGGCTATTTTTGATGTCTGCCGGCTGCCAGGAGTTCAATCCTAACCAGCTCAAGGTTGACAGCCTTCCACCCTTCCAAGATCGGTAAAGAAAGGACCCAGATTGTTGGGGGCAAGAGGCTGACTTTGTAAACCATTTAGAAAGGGTTGTCAAGCCCTGTGAAGCTGTATATAAATCTTAAACACTAATGCTATTGCTGTTCTGTGTTTATCCTTACCAGTGTCAGTTGGTTCCTCTACTACTACCTCTGAATTATTCAGGCCTGGTTTGTTTGGCGGGATGGCGTTTGAAGTCCTTCTTGTCACCCAGAATCCTGCAGGAGCAGGAACTATTGGAGCTGGGTTACCCCGATTCTGAGAAACAAGTGAGATTATTTATTAACATTCATGCCTTCACTTAATTGCAAATATGCAGCAGTGTTTCAGCATTTCCTTCTAACCCTGATGAGTATAGAATACGTGCGCCAGACTTCAACAGTTATGAGATGCTCTGAAATACACGACATGTTTCTAAAATTTTAGGAAACAGCTTGCTAGCCTTTCCAAATTTGGCTGAGAAAAAAATTGTTTATTAATAATTAGAGCTTTCAGAATTTATTTTTAAAAATCAGTGCAGAGAGAAGGGCAGAAAGGGCCAAAGCAAGCATTAAAAAATATTCGTATACAAAAACCTCATTTTCAGGTTTCTTTCAAAAGCAGAAAATTTCTTGTTTTGGCCCTTTTGAAATCCCTAAATTCAATTTTATGGCAGCAGAAGTTGCCCTGGGGGTTTTATAATTATTATTTTCTAAGAAAAAGATTTGCCAACACACATTTATACCTTTGAGAGATACTATTTGGTTAGCAATTCGGTTCCCTTTGAAACAATTTCGCTGTGCGCCACTCTATTAATAAATTTTAGTCCCATGAACAAAATTAAGAGCCTGAGGCTTTGCAATTATATTTCATCTGTGTAGATCTTTTCCCATAATGAGGATTTAACCAAACTTGATTATTCTTCCTAACAGCCTGCTAGATTAATTCAAGGCTGTTTAATCCAGCGCTCTCTATCCCAGGGCTCTCCAAACTTGGCAACTTTTAAGACTCATGAAGTTTCTCCTTGCAGTTTTGTCCACCCTATCCTGCTGCCTACCTGTAAAAGATTTACTTTGGCATTTTTCAAATTAATTCAGCTCAAGGACTTACAGGTAAAGGAGGAAAATTTGCATCATCCCCTTCTTCAATCTCATAGAAAGTCATGGTTTCTTCTACACCTCGAGGTTCCTCCCCATTCTCAGGTGAAAATCCGTACTGGCATTCTTTATTTACACATTGCATCTGTCTGCGGCTACGGCTGTATGAACTTCCAGAATGATCAAAAGGTTAAAATGTCACCACCACCATATATCCCAAGTCTAAAACATTTGAAAGAAAATGTTGCTACAGCTGCAACTACAGGACCAAGGGATACCGTATTTTTGGAGTATAAGACACACCTTTCCCACCCCCCCAAAAAAGAGGGGGGGCCTCTCAAACTTTCTGCATGACCCATTTTCCACAAAAACTGAGGGATGCAGAAGGCTCGGGCAGAGTAAATTTTTTTTTTAAATTTACTACCTCTTCAAAATCTTGGTGCGTCTTATACTCCAGTGCCTCTTATAGTTCAAAAAATACGGTATTTGTGCCCAATTGTTACCAGACTGGCACTTTGGGGCAGTTAAGATTCACGTAACATGGCACTGGCTTGCTGCATCAACAAAGAAACTCTTTGGAATCTGAAACAGCAGCAATCCTGGGATGCTCTAAAAAAATGTCTCGGTTGAGTTGGTAGTTGTTGGTAGTTGGTAGTTGAGTTTATTTATAGGTTGAAAACGCTTTAACATTGCTTCAAGGATACAGAAAGTTGCATCCCTAGAATTGAAAAGCTTTGAGGAACTAGCTAGATCAGTCAGACATTTCCCAGTCCCCAGAGAGGCAGCTGCCTTTGGAGGCTGAGATAAGTGGGGAGGAAGAACCACTGGGCCTTGTTCCAGATGCGCGTATGCGCAGAGCAGTTAGAAGAGAAGAACAACTGAGAACAAGGAGTTGACTCAGGAAGCAAGGCACACATGAACGTTCAATGACCTCTTCCTGGCTGGGGAATAAATAGAAAGAAAGGGGAGTGGTGATGGTAGAAGACAACAGTTCGGATTTCTGAAGATTTTGCTCATGGTGTTTCGTGCCTTAGAGACTGCTTGCCAGAACTTAATTTGGAGCTTTACAAGGTGGGAACTCATGGCCTAGCAAGGAACTAACAAGGTCTGTTACTGCAGTTAACTCTTTGAAGGACTATTGCCTGGGCTTCTCATTGTGTGAATGCCATTAATTCACAGGAGATATATAAAGGGTTTTTTGGGACAAGGAGTCTGTTTGTTTCTGCTAAGACTGGGTCAGAACGAACAGTAGAAAAGTATTTTACTGGTAGGAACGTCACAGGTCCCATCCCACGCATCTAAAAGTTGCCATGAAATCTAGCTAGGGAAATAATTTTGTCTTACAGCGGTTGGAGAAATTTAATGGATAAATCCACCTCAGTACAGGTAGTCCTTGACTTATGACCACAGTTGACCCCCAAATTTACATTGTTAAGTGAGAAATTTGTTAAGTGAGTACTGCCCCATTTTTAATGACTTTTCTCACCACAATTGTTATGTGGATCACTGCAGTTGTTAAATTAGTTACACAGTTGTTAAGTGGATCTAGTTTCCCCATTGATTTTTCTTGTCAGACGGTTGCAAAGGGGGAAATCACATGACCTCAGGACACTGCAACTGTCACAAATGTGAGTCAGTTGTCAAGCATCCAAATGTACATCACATGACCATGAGGATGCAGCGATGGTCATAAGTATGAAAAATGGTCATAAGTCACTTTTTCAGCACTGTTATAACTTCAAACAGTCACTAAATGAACTGTTGTAAGTCCAGGACTACCTGTATAAAGGTAAAGGTTCCCCTTGCACATATGTGCTAGTCATTCCCAACTCTGGGGGGCGGTACTCATCTCTGTTTCAAAGTCAAAGAGCCAGTGCTGTTCGAAGATGTCTCTGTGCTCATGTGGCCGGCATGACTAAATGCTGAAGGAACAAGGGACGCTGTTACCTTCCCACCAACTTTCTATTTTTCTACTTGCATTTTTTTTATGTGCTTTCAAACTAGGTAGGTTGGCAGAAGCTGGGACAAGTAACAGGAGCTCAAACCATTACATGGTGCTAGGGATTGAAACCGCCAAACTGCCGACCTTTCTGATCGAGAAGTTCAGCGTCTTAGCACTGAGCCACCACATCCCTTCTCTCTCCCCTCCCTCCCTCCCTCCCTCTCTCCCCCACCTCTCTCTCTATCTATTTATAGATAGATAGATAGATAGATAGATAGATAGATGATAGATGATAGATAGATGATAGATAGATGATAGATAGGTATAGAGATATATAAATATAGACACACACACACACACACACACACATCCTTTCTACCTCCTGTATAAGGTAGGTTGAAAAATTTGAGAAATTTCAGAAAATCTGAAGTCTGAAGACAGCTGACCCCAAACGATAGCTGAGGAAGAACACTGACTGCCTATTGTATTGGTTTAAAACAGGGTTTAACACTGACCACCTAGTGTATTGGATTAAAACAACAGGGTTACAATTACTTACCGTGATCTATACGAGAAGTTATCATAGCTCTGATAACATCTCTTTCCTGGACTAGGATAAAATGCTATTTCTTGCCCAGTGACGTTGTTCCTGTTTATAAATCGGGCAGATCCCCTACATTTCAAAGGATAAAAAAGCAAAGTAACTACGAATTTAGAAGGCTCAAGGTGGACTCTTAACTAGCCCCATTCAAGTACCTCTACAAACATGTCCGTGAATGAAGAAGCTGCAAAGCAGTCCAAGGCTCAGCTATCCTTTGGCATGGTGCAACTGTATGCAAACTGTGCAGGTCCCTGCCTTGCTCTTCAATCCAGCATGTTACTTCTTAATTACATGTCGCAAAGGTGCTTTTTCACAAGGCAACTGGACTTTGTTTTTCCTTGAAGACCTTTCGCTTCTCATCCAAGAAGGTTATTGGATGAGAAGCGAAAAGTCTTCAAGGAAAAACAACGCCTTGTGAAAAAGTACTTTTGGGACAACTAGGACCTGGATGACTGAGAATTGCCAGAGACGGTTTTAATTGCATGTCAACTATGCTAAGTCTCACTTGAGTAAAAGCCAAGAACACCTTCAAGTTCACCTTGACTGCTGATGACTTGATAAGGCAACCATCCACAGATGTGGGTGGTGTAGAAATTTAATAAATAAATATGGCTTTGTGGGCAGCAATACAGAAAGTATTTGCTGGTGTTGCAGCCTTTGATATCTTTTCATCTTCCCAGTTTGGTTTGTAGCTCTGGGTTTTCCTAGATGAGCTCAGTTATTATACGTTTCTGGGTTTATGAGGCCACTAAAGAACATTGGATACCACCCAGGGGTGGGTTTGTTGCTGGTGTTACTGCCGGTTTGCAACCCGCGCACAAAGTACGCATGTGCACCAGATGTGCGCTTTACGCCCGTGCATAATTCAATGTAAATTGTTCACTAAAATCCAAAATGGTGGCGGCCAAGCAGCAGTGAGGGAACCAGTTTGGGGGTGTGGCAGGCCTGGATCACTGCTGGTTCTGCAACCCAGGCCTGAATTCCACTATGGGTTCGGCCGAACTGGCTGAACCAGCAGCAACCCACTATTGATACTACCCCTGTGTAGATCATATTAGTTGAGCAAGGGCAGTGGTGGGATTCAAATAATTTAACAACCGGTTCTCTTCCCTAATGACCAGCTGGGTAGGCATGGTGGTCATGTGACCATGTGGGCATGGCCAACTCAAGGTCACTCACGTTGATGGGCGCGTCACCTTAGCTGTTACAATGTAATAAGGGTTAATCGGAGAGGCAGTTTCTGTAAGCAGGGCAATAAAGATCAGGCTAGAAGCAACACCAGAATGTTTCCTTCCTGCCTTCCTTACAGGATTAGCCCTGTAAAGTGGGGAAAAAACCAAAAGGGGATTTCTTCCAACAACCAGTTCTCCCAACTGCTTAGAAAGTTAACAGACAATTCTCCCAAATAGGTGCGAACCAGATGAATCCCACCACTGGGCAGGGGGAGAAAATGAGAACATTTTATTGCCATTGTTACTTTAAATTAAAAGTTCTCTCAGTTTGGGACATAGTATTAATTTACAGAACGCAGGTCACCAATGAACCAAGTTTTGAAATTATGGTTTAGTGGGCTACCAAATTCTCTCCCTTAATCACCCTTCTGTTCACCACTACAGGCAGTTCTCGCTTAACGATAGTAATTGGGACCAGGATTGGTTGCAAAGTGGGACATCACATGACTATGGGGAGGCTCTGATGGACAGAACTTTGAGGGCAGGCCATAAAGCCTTTTCATTCAGCGCCATCACAACCTGGTTGATGAACTAACAGCCATTAACCAAACACAGGTAGTCCTCAGCTTACGACCACAATGGAGTCCCAAATTTCTGTTAAGTGAGATGTTGGTTAAGTGAATTTTGCCCCATTTTACTACTTTTGTTGCCACGGTTGTGAAATGAATCACTGCAGTTGTTAAGTCAGTAACACAGATTCACTTGTTAAGTGAATCTGGCTTCCCCATTGACTTTGCTTGTCAGATCATCACAAAAGGAGATCACGTGACCTTGGGACACAGCAACGGTCATAAATATGAGCCAGTTGCCAAGCATCTGAATTTTGATCACATGACTATGGAGATGCTGCAAAGGCTATAAACTCATGCAAAAAGATTGTAAGTCACATTTTTCAGTGCCTTTGTAACATTGAACAGTCACTTAATGAACTGTTGTAGGTTGAGGACTACCAGGACTAGCTCTATGTACCCTTTGGTTAAAATATTCCTTTTCTAACATGCAAATGAAGCGTGTGAGAATAAAGGCTGCAGAAACAGGGAACAGAATTGCTATGTAGCTCTGTGGATATTTTATGACACTATTATGCTCAAATCAGCATGATGCTTGTGGCCAAAATCATCAAGGCCACCATCTCTGAACTGCCTAACAGTGAAATGGGGGGAAGAGATTAACAAGCCTCCTTACCTCGACATTCCGTATCCCCGTCCAGTTCTCTGTGAATTCTGGAAATTGTAATGATCATATGGATTTATATGCCCATTTGGGGAACAATGGACCAAAGATGAGCGATCTGATGCCATGGTGTGCTGCAGGCGAGGTGGCAGGACAGGGTGGCCCCTGCTGTAAGCCACCGTCATGTAGACTTCCTTTCCATGCACTTTCTTGAAGAGTTTCTTCCGTGTTTTCATGTCTATGTCTGGAAGGGGAAATAAGAATAGGAAGACCGGCTGAAACTTTGGCTAGGATTAATCTACAGCTGGTCATTTCTTCTTTTTGCAACTGGAAACTCTTTTGTTGGTTTCTTTGAAATAAAACAGTACTAGAGCAGGAAGGGAGAAATTTAGAATAATCTTAGGAAATGTTGTCTTGGAATAGTACAAACACTCCATTTTATCTAAAAATAAAAGGTAAGCTTCCCCTCGCAAATATGTGCTAGTCATTCCAGACTCTAGACGTCAGTGCTAACCTCTGTTTCAAAGCCAAAGAGCCAGTGCTGTCCGAAGACGTCTCCGTGGTCATGTGGCCGGCAAGACTAAATGCCGAAGGCGCACTCAATGCTGTTACCTTCCCACCAAAAGTGGTTCCTATTTTTCTACTTGCATTTTTACGTCCTTTCGAACTGCAAGGTTGGCAGAAGCTGGGACAAGTAATGGGAGCTAACTCCATTACGTGGCATTAGGGATTCAAACCGCCTAACTGCCGACCTTTCGGATCGACAAGATCTGAGTCTTAGCCACTTAGCCACCATGCCCCTTTTAATCTAAAACTTGATGTGGGGAAGAGAGAGGAAAGGAAGCTGCAGCATTCAGGCAATTGTATAATAAAAAAAGTTTGAAAGTTTAAGGACATAAAAAAAACCTCTTCTTTTGGAATCAAGCAACAAGCAAGGATTATTTATGTGTCATGTTCCAAAATTCAAACCCTCACATCTTTAGCCCATTCAAGATAACTCTTCAGATATAAGAGTAATTTAATAGATGCGCAGGATGGTAATTAGAGATCAGGTTTCACCTCTTTGGGGATTGAGACAGTGGGAAAAAGCTGGTATTTTAAGTGAAGTGTCTACTTATAGAAAATCAACCATGCCCATTTCCTTTATTATCTCTCCAAATAACTACTTTATGAGTACATTTAAAGTTATTAATAGTGATAAATTCTTGAACCAAGATTTGTTGCAGCAACTCCTTAAAAGATTGTGAACTTTAAAAGTGTTTATTTTTTGGGCAGAGAAAACTTTTCAATTATATGCCAGTAAAATATCTTGATCTTGCCACAAGGTTGTTTCAGGTCTAAAAACATACTTACAGTTTCTTTACAGTTTGACATGGGAAAATGTCAGGGATTAAATGTGTGTCCACCTAGTGAATGTTTGATGGTTGATTTTCATATTCTTCGTTTTCTGAATGCTCACCTAGTTTTATGATTTTGTGTCATTGTAACTTTATTGCAGTATCTAGCCATAGATCAGTTTTACTTTACCTGGTTAAATCTGCATTAAGACTGCATTCCACCAAGATATTTCCAAATAGCAGAAAAAATTATTCTTTAAAAATAACTTGTTAAACATCTAGCTAGAATTCACATACGGCTCCATAATCAATAAATGTTCTTTTAAGAGTGATGTTTTCAAAATTGATTCTCTTTAATTAATGTGGAGGGGGATCTTTCAAGCAAAGCAAGTGTTTTAAAATTATTAATCCAGGGATCGAATTTGACTTCAGGAATCATTTACCTTATAATTACTTAAATATTGCCGTAATAGTCCAGCAACTCAGAAAACAAAACAAAAAAGAACTACTAATAAGTTTGATCAGTGGTGGGATTCAAATAATTTAACAACCAATTCTCTTTCCTAATGACCAGCTGGGTAGCTGCGGCTCAGTGGTCATGTGATTGTGTGGGCATGGCCAACCAACATCACTCATGTTGATGGGCGCTTCGCCTTAGCTGTGAGTGTAATAAGGGTTAACTGGACAGGTAGTTTCTGTAAGCAGGGCAATAAAGATTAGGCTAGAAACAACACCAGAATGTTTCCTCCCTTCCTTCCTTACAGGATTTGCCCTGTAAAGTGGGAAAAAACAAAAGATTTCTTCCAACAACTGGTTCTCCGAACTGCTTAGAAAGTTAACAATCGGTTATCCCGAAGAGGTGCGAACTGGCTGAATTCCACCACTGAGTTTGATCTACTAGATCTCACAAGTCAATTATTGATGACATCAAAACTGAGATATAAGGTATTTGTTTAGGATTCATATTTTGGTGACCTCTTACCCACTCTGCTCTTGAGTTCTAACTGAAAAGATTTTTAAAAGACTTTTACTACACAGATACTGTGCACATATGTAGTAAAAGCACTTATAAAACACTATGTACCATAGGAAATAGCAGCTAATACCATATTTTGGAAGAAATTAGCCCAAATCATCCCGAACAAGAATATGAAATTCCTCGTCACAATGCATTTCAATTAATAGGGCAGTGTTTCTCTACCTTAGCAATTTTAAGATGGACAGATTTAATTAAATTGAAATCCACCCATCTTAAAAGTTGGCAAGGTGGTGAAACCTTGTCAAAGAGAAATGAGCTGGATGATGAAGAATGGGAAAATGGATGACAAATTCATTCCCAGAGAGAAGTTTATACTATTATTGGAGAAGTTGCAGGTTACAAGGTTCATTACTACTCTACCCAGCCATACCATTACTGTCTTTACTTATGGGTGTACCCACCTGGTATCTTCTGATAACTTCCTCCTTTTCTGTTGGACATCACATTCCATGCAGGAAGTGGAGTGACTTGAGTCACAGGCTTCAAATTTACCAATGGAATAACATGCCTATACATCATCCCAACCAGAATTAGTACAGTTATAAAACAAAACTTAAAATCATAATGATATAAGACCTATGGCATCTAAGTTTAAAACTTACTGTTCCTTCCATTTCTACTTATCTTTAAGAGTGCTACACAAAGATGATTGAGTTTGCACAATGATGCCAACCACTAATGTAAATTGACTGATATGATGATTAGAATTTAAATTAGTTGTAACTTTAAGTTACAGTATTTTTCGGAGTATAAGACGCACTTTTTTCCCCCAAAAAAGAGGGTGAAAATCTGGGTGCATCTTATAGACTGAATACAGCATTTTAGGCCTCCTGAAACCCCACCCCCTTTGCAAAAATGGCCTTGCATAGCCTTTAGGTGGCTTCCAGAGTGCTCCTGGGGGCCGGGTAAGGCAAAAATGAGTGAAAAATAGGCCATTTTTAGGCTCATTTTTACCCTCCCCCAGCCCCCAGGAGTACTCTATAAGCCTCCCAAAGCCTATGCATGCCCTGTTTTGGGCAAAAAACAGGCCTGTTTTCTCAAAAAACAGGTCATTTTTTGCTCTCCCCCCCAGCCCCCAGCAGCAATTTGCAGGCCTCTCAAACTCTCTGCATGCCCCGTTTTTCACAAAAAAATGTGACGTGCAGAGGGTTTGAGAGGCCTGCAGATTGCAAAGACTTTTACTTTTAATTTACCTCTTCAAAATCTTGGTGTATACTCTGAAAAATATGGTTCTTGGGCAAAGTATAAAATCATAAAGCTGGGAGGGACATTGAAGGCATAGTCCAACACAGTGGTGGGTTGCAGATGGTACGTCCCGGTACGGGCATACTAGAGCCAACCCGGAGCACCGGATACCGTTCCGGTATAGTGCTCCGGAGGGCCCACTCACCCACTCGAAATCCTTACCAGTGTTCAAAAGCTTCTTCGCTTACAGGTATTATTCTCTTAATAGGTTTCATATTGTGTTCTTTTGTAAAACTATTAATTTGTTGAGTTTCCAGAAAACTCAAACAAAAATGAAGAATCGGGAAACATATTAAAGATTAATATTTATTATCACAAAAGCTTCATGGATCACAAAACATTTGATCCACCAAAACGAAACAAAAAATCCCAACCCTAAATACAAGGAAAAAGTTTGTTTTAAAGGTTCTGTAAGACTATGTCTTACATTTTTAAGTGTCAAGGTTATGCCAGAACAAAAATTAAAGCTTTCATTTTCAACACCCTTTCCCCTGGGAGACGAAATTAAAACCTTTTCATGTTCGGTACTGTTGAACTGAATGCCCCATATTGTAAAAGAATTAAACCCAGCCTATCTGAAGAAATAATATGGAAAGTGAGATGTCAGATTTTGTATATTAGTTATAACACCATTAACCTGATTTTTGAAGTAGCCCAGCTAAAATTCTGATATCAATAGCTCTCCCAATGAATACAATTATATGATTAAAAGGAAAGAGATACATACTTTTCTGCCAACTCTTCAATGAAGACAGTCACCATATTATCTTGTCCCACATCCTGTATATGGGCATTGTAATATTTCCCCCCCGTTTCTAGCCGTACCTGGGAAGAAGAAGATTCTAAGTCAGAGGTGTCCAATCTTGGCAACTTTAAGACTTGTGGGCTTCAACTCCCAGAATTCTGGCTGGGGAATTCTGGGAGTTGAAGTCCACAGGTCTTAAAGTTGCTAAGATTGGACACTCCTGCTCTAAGTGTACCCAAAAAGATACTCAGAATACTTGAGTTTTTGCACAGCCACACTGCCAGAAAGTGAAAATAGCCACTCAACTTCTGAACTGATGTGTTTCATTCATTTCAAAGTTATGACTTAGATCCTTGACTTAGATCCAACAAACTTTGCAATCACCATTTTCAACCAAGTTCATTTATATTTTATACCCTGGATGTTTGTTACAGTAGGTATCAGGTTGTAAGAATCTATATGTTACCAAATGGCAAGCCAAGCAGAAATGTATGTATCAAGAAATAGTCCATACATGGAATTTTTCTCAAAAGCAAGAGGATCTAACTAAAGGTTCGCCTCGCACATATGTGCTAGTTGTTCCTGACTCTAGGGGGTGATGCTGTCTGTAGGGCCGTTTTTCACCCTCCGGAGCTTTCAGGGGCCTTCAGGAAGCTTCCCTGAAGGCTCTGGAGGGCAAAAAACAGCCCTATGATCAAACCAGAAGTGACTTCCAGTTTGCTCGTAGGGCCGTTTTTTGCCCTCCAAAGCCTTCAGGGAAGCTCCTGAAGCCTCCGGGATGGGTGGAGAGGCTGTTTTTGCCCTCCCAGGCTCCTGAAAAGCCTCTGGAGCCTGGGGAGGGCAAAAAAGTGTGTCAAAAGCAGGAGGGTCACTGGGGGTCACGCGCATAGTATTATGGGTGAGGCACGCCCACGCACAACTCCCCTGCACTCCCCCAGCTTTTGGCACGAAATCCAAAACAGGTTAGCCATCATTGTTCTAGGGTCAGAGATATCAAACTCATATTCCAGAATTAAGATTGTGGTATGGAACTTTTGACATAGAAAGTGTAGCCTTATTCTCTGGGCCACAGAAAGCTGGCTCAGTCACATCAAAAACAACAGGAATAAAATTGAGCAAATTTATAAATTTTCAAGATTTATACTTGTTTACTCTAGTAAGTCATGATAATGGATGTAGCAATCTCTTTCCTTTTTCCAACAGGCCCTAAAGGGTTCATCAAGTTAAATGTAATGAAGACGCTCCCCAACACACATCTCCAAGGGTTGTTGATCATCAAAAGTAGAAAACTGGGGATAAAACAGTGGAGTTGCTGGAATTGTGAAGAGATCTCAACAAAGCCTCAATTTAATTGAGGTCTTCTTATACAATAAGCTCAGAAAACTAAGTGGACACTTTTTTCCCCAATGCCATCACTCTGGTAAACAAATAATTCCCTCACCACCGTCAAACTATTCACAATGGCAGCATTACAATTACTATTAGTCTTCTCAGCGTTCCTATCACCCATCTCCTCCATCTTCTTGACCAATGTATCTGTCTTTTTATGTACACTGAGAACATCTGCACCAAAGACAAATTCCTTGTGTGTCCAATCACACCTGGCCAATAAAGAATTTTATTCTATTCCTATTCTTATTCCTATTCCTACTTCTGACAGAGCATTTTTAAATGAGACATTTAGGTCAGGATCAGAAACCAGTAATTTTATTGTTTAATAAACCAAGGAAAATTTGTTCTGCTGATTGCAAATGATTTTAAAGAACTCTTTTCCACAATGTCCAAATATACAGTTTGCATTCAGTAAGTTTAATTAGAGCAAGTCCAAAGTTGCTTTGAACAAATTATCTTTACTAAATAAACACAAAGCACTAACCTGACATTTGTCTCCTAAATAGTATTGTCTTCCAGCAAACACCAAGTAATCTGTTTTTTGAAGTTCTACAAAGGAAGATCAAAAAAAAACTTAAGCTATTTATCAAGCATTCATGGATACTAATCTGATGGTAGAATTCTTTGCATGGAAAATAATATTATGTAACTGGCTTATTTTCCTGATATTAGCTGCAGCTGGCAAGGACCTCATGCATACCCAATGAATATTACATCTATACAGCCTTCTCCAATGCAGAACTCAGATTAACAGAGTTGGAAGGGACCTTATAGGTCATCTAGTCCAACCCACCACTCAAGCAGGAGACCTACACCATTTCTGATAAATGGCAGTCCAGTCTCTTCTTGAAAGTCTCAAGTGATGAAGCTTCCACAACTTCCCAAGGCAACTTCTGTTCCATGGGTTGATTGTTCTCACGGTCAGAAAGTTCCTCTTTATTTCTAGTTTGAATCTCTCCTTGGTCAGTTTCCATCCATTATTCCTTGTCTGCCCTTCAAGTGCTTTGGAAAATAGCTTGACCCCTTCCTCTCCATGGCAGCCCCTCAAATATTGGAAGACTGCTCTCCTGTCTCCCCTGGTCCTTCTCTTCACTAGACCATGTTCCTGCAACCGTTCTTCATATATTTTAGTCTCCAGTCCCCTTGTCATCCTGGTTGCTCTCCTCTGCACATTTTCTAGGGTCTCAACATCATTTTTATACTGTGGTGACCAAAACTGGATGCAGTAGTCTCCACATGCTGCCTAGGGATTCTTGTTCAACAATAGAGAGTGCATAAATGAGAAGGCTGTACAGATAGTCCTTGTTTAGTGACAACTGGGACCAGAAACGTGGTTATTAAATGAAGTAGTCATTACACGAAATCATGACTCTGCTTATGAGATGACTTCAGACTGCCTTTGCTTGACAGACTTTTGAAGGTCATAAATTAGAGGACTGGTTGCAGTTACTTTTTTTTAATCACCGTTTTAACTGCAAGCTGTTATTCAAGTCAGTCACTAAACAAGGATTCCTTGTACAACAAATAGACGAGCTAATACAGACAGGATGAAATTATTCATGCATGACTGTGAACTTCATAATTAAAGCTTCTAAGCTTCATTCCCACTTAGCTGTTTCCAGTTAGATAGAGGAAAATATAAGTCAAACAATTCCAAAATAAGAATTAGATTTTTGCTGACAGCTCCCACCCTGTTTTTGATATATTGTTGGATATATGCAAACTCCCTTATCTGGTGCTCTGCAGATGTTTTAAGAGTGCATCTCCTAGTACCTTCTAGGCTAGTACTCCCAATACTGATAGCCCTCGACTTACAACAGTTCACTTACTGACCATTCAAAGCTACCACAGTACTGAAAAAAAGTGACTTATGACCATTTTTCAGAGTTACAGCTTTTCCAGCATCCCCATGGGCACATGATTTACATTAGGATCAAGGATGACTGTTGGAAGGATGACTGTAGTGTATAGAGTAAAGGTAAACGTAAAGGTATCTCTAGCACATATGTGCTAGTCATTCCCGACTCTAGAGGGTGGTGCTCATCTCTGTTTCAAAGCCAAAGAGCCAGTGCTGTCCGAAGAAGTTTCCATAGTCATGTGGCCAGCATGACTCAATGCCGAAGGCACATGGAACGCTGTTATATTCCCACCAAAGGTGGTCCCTATTTTTCTACTTTCATTTCTACCTGCTTTTGTGCTGCTAGGTTGGCAGAACTGGTAGAGGTAATGGGAGCGCACTCCGTTATGCAGCACTAGGGATTTGATCCGCCAAACTGCTGACCTTTCTGACTGACAAGCTCAGCGTTTTAGCCACTGAGCCACCGCTTCCCTGTAAACTAGAGTACTCTTTTGCTAAAGCAGACAGCATATGAAACATGGCCTACATACATAGGTTTTGCAGTGGGTCTTGTCAACTAACCAACTACAACCCAGGAAGAAAACTTCCAAGGTCCATTTGGAACTGTGCATTTATTAAGCCCAACGTTGATTGGGTAACATGTTTTCATGACAAACAACTCTTTAGCTGTACTTTATGACTGTTGCAGGAAACAGCAAATTCTTAACAGGAGAATTTCATATGCATGCACTGGGATTTCAGCTGCTAGGCCAGCTGTGTTCATCCTATTGGACACACCTCTGCTTGATTCAGCCATCAAGTGCAACGGTATGGAACAGATTTTTCTAGTGCAAAATAGCAATAGCAATAGCACTTAGACTTACCGTATTTTTCGGAGTATAAGATGCACCCTTTCCCCCAAAAAAGAGGGTGAAAATCTGGGTGTGTCTTATATATTGAATACAGCATTTGTGGCCTACTGAAACGCTGCCCCCTTTGCAAAAATGGACGTGCAGAGTGTTTGGGAGATTAGCAAAGTACTCCTGGGAGCTGGGGAGGGCAAAAACAAGCAAAAAATGGCCATTTTTGCTCATTTTTGACCCACCAGCCCCCAAAAGCACTCTACAAGCCTCCCAAAGCTCCGCATGCCCTCTTTTTTTGCAAAAAATGGCCCCGTTTTTTTGCTCATTTATGCCCGCCTAGCCTCAGGAGCACTCTACAAGCCTCCCAAAACTCTGCCAGCCCCCGTTTTTTTTGCAAAAAATGAGGCGTGCAGAGGGTTTGGGAGGCCTGCAGAGTGCAAACCCTTTTTTTAAAAAAATTACCTCTTCAAAATCATGATGCGCCTTATATTCCGAAAAATACAGTATATACTGCTTCCCAGTGCTTTTACAGCCCTCTCTAATTGGTTTACGGAGTTAGTAAATTGCACCCAACAATCTGGGTCCTCATTTTACCCACCTCAGAAGGATGGAAGGCTGAGTCAACCTTGAGCCTGGTGAGATTCCATCTGCCAAACTGCTGGCAGCCGGTGATCAGCAGAAGCAGCCTGCAGAACTGCACTCTAACCCCGGCGCCACTGGGGCTCAAAATGAATCATAAGACAAACCTACCTTTTCTGCTCTCCAGCCAAACATCAAACT